TTTCTAAATTTAGGGGTTTAGGGTTTAGGGGTTTGGGGTCCACAAACCCAAAGGCGCTCCTTGGCTGCCTTCTCCAAGCCGCTGCGGATGGTCCCAAGCCTTGTGACTACTAAGCCACTAGCCAAGACCCCAGGGAGGATCCAAAAAGTAGATCCCTGAAGGGGGTTCCTATAAAGTACCCCTTAGTAGCTAGGATCCCAAAGTACGGGATCTACTTTCTAGATCCTAAACCCTAAACCCTAAACCCTAAACCCTAAACCCTAAACCCTACGGGATCTACTTTCTAGATCCTCTCGGGGGTCTGGGTTTGCCTAGCGTCCTGTGGCAGCAGAGTTCAGCCTACCGGGTTTAGGGTTTAGGGTTTAGGGTTTAGGGGTTTAGGGGTTAGGGGTTTAGGGTTTAGGGTTTAGGGGTTTAGGGTTTAGGGTTTAGGGTTTAGGGTTCGTTCTCGGTCAGCGAAGCATCAACTCTTCTTGCAGCAATCGTTTCTTTCAGCCAGAGCACCTCACAACCCTAAACCCTGAACCCTAAACCCTAAACCCTAATTCGTTCAAGTAGGCCCCGAGAGGCCTGCTCCTTCCTGACCTTCATGTAAACCAAAAAACCAAGGGACCATGTACCCAAATTTCAAACAGTAGATACTTTGGCCTTAAAGTAGTCCCTATCTACGTACTTTGGGGTCAAAGCATGTTATTTGGGCACATGGACCCTTAGGGAAAAGACTATCAGAAACCCTCCAGGTACAAGGTACGCAGTACAAACCGTATCCCAAAAGCCGCAAAGTCTTGCTGGAGAGAGGAAACGGAACTCAACATACTCGGCCGTAAGACAACCTAAACCCTAAACCCTAAACCCTAAACCCTAAACCCTAAACCCTTAAACCACTGAAGTCACTTCAGCCTGAACATGCCCTATAAACCTCAAACTTTAGACCCAGCAGCCTAACCCCTCAAAAGCGTCCTTGGCCCGACGCAAGGCTTGCAAGTATGCCGCATGGTGGCCGCTTGATGATTGAAGTTAGGGATTTATGTAAAGAAATCATCCGTGGCTCCTACAGTTTCAACGGCCATAACCGACATGCCCTATGAACCCGAAAGGGGTGGGCACGAATCGCAATAACCGAAAACCTATACCCCAAGCTCCTGAATCCTATATTGAGGCCACGGAAAGAACACATCACGCAGAACAGCCCTGCATCACGCCCCAAAACCCAAACCCTACACGAAGTCCCCGTGGCTCATCGCTGGTGAACAGGTTCGGCACCTGTCGCCATGCGGTGTGACGGGTTGAGGGTTTGAGGCATGGGGGGTTGGGCAGAATTTGGGTTCCCAAACTAAAGAACCGACTCGAATCCCTTAATGTTTAGGTTTTGGGGTTTAGGGTTTAGGACCCTATATGCATGGTCCAGTAAACCCTCGAAGTCCTGATATCACCTATCATTTCTAATAAGAGAAACTTGCCCTCACCTTCAGCTTCAGCCCGATCCGCCAAAAGTACACGCGTCGAACAAGTCCGAAGCTTCACGGCTGAGCTCACTTGAAGCGTCAGGGGACGTACTAAGTAGGTTACAAGTGAAGTTGAAACTGCAGGCCACTTATGGTCCGAAGTATATAACCCATTTCATGACTGAATCTGTTACGATTCTTCAATCTAGCACTATAGACCCTAAACCCCAAACCCTAGACCCTAAACCTACAAAGATCCGGATCTAGGGCCTTAGCGTCTAGAAGATTAGGGTGGGGAATTTGGGGAAGGGGGCATAATATGTATGCCTTCATGCAAACATGTGTGCAAAGTCTGTATGTATGTGTGTATGTATGTACGTATCTATGTGTGCATGCATGTATGTCTGCGTGCAGATTAGGGGACTACAATCTTGCGCACCTCGCCACTGGAGAGCATGTTGGCAACATCTTCCAGGAAGCTTTCCTCCACAATCTCAGTGTCCTCAGGCTTCAGGGCTTCAGGGGTACTTGGTCTGAGGGTAAGAGTTTTGCAGTTATTTAGGGTATATAAGGCGGGTCCCTCTCCCATGTTTTGTCGCACAAGATGAATTTCGATTAGTATATTAGGAGCCTTTATAATTAGAACAGCGTTTTGAGGACCCCTCAAAATAATATAAGTAATTATTGAGGCCTCTATATTCATGGGGCGCAGAGGCTGTTTCGGTAATATAGTAAATAGAATAGGGTTTGGGGTATAAAATACTATAATGATAATAAGGAGCTCCCAAAACCCTATTCTGATTATTGAGGCCCCTACATTATGCAGAGTCAGGGACCCTAAACCCTAAACCCTAAAGGTCCAAAAAAGCAACCCCGAAGCCCCACACCCTTAAGAGCCCTAAACCCCTAAAGTCACAAAATCGGAAAACCCCAAAGCCCAGCCCTGAAGCCCTAAAATCCCCAAACCCCAAACACTAGACCATTAAAATCCTAAGCCCTAAGCCCTAACCCCCCAGAGCTCTAAAATCCTAAACCCAAAACCTTCAAAGCCTACAAGACGAAAGCTCTACACCCTGAACCCCTAAATTCCCTAAAACCCCTAACACCCCTAAAACCCCTAACACCCCTAACGAAAAAACGGGGCGAGGCGCGGAGAAGAGGAAAGTCATTGCCTGGTTCTTCACGCCGGTAAGCTCCTAGGCTGCTTCCCCAATGGGGATTTTTTAGGGTTGAGGGTTTGGGGGTTTAGGGTTTAGGGTTTAGGGTTTAGGGTTTAGGGTAATTGAGGGTTTAGGGTGGCGCCTTGAAGACCATCGGTCACAACCTAATATGGGTAGTTTTCTAAATTAGGGTCCCTTTCAGGGTCCTTTTGATAAGGGTGCCGTACTACATTGGGGACCTAAACAGGGACCCTAATTTAGAGAACTACCCTTATGGCTGTTTCCCCAAGGGTCCAAAGGACCCAATAATTAGGTACTTTGGTTTCGGATAGTAGGTATCTGGGTTAATATTGGGAGAGTATATGATTATTAGGTACTTGGACCCTTTGGGTTTATGATACCCTCATGGGCGTTGAGGGTTTAGGGTTTAGGGTTTTGGGGTTGAGGGTCGAGGGTTTAGGGGTTTAGGGTTTAGAGTTTAGGGTCTAGGGTTTTGGGTTTGGGGTTGAGGGTTTAGGGTTGAGGGTTTAGGTTTAGGATCTAGGCTTTTTTCCCCTAAACCCTAAACCCTAAACCCTAAACCCTAAACCCTACCAGCTGCAAGGCCTCTAGACCAGAGGACTCCAGCCTGAGCACCAGAGGGGTCCCTACAGTTATATGGCGCCAACTGGCAGAACGGTTTAGGGTTTAGGGTTTAGGGTTTAGGCTCATAAAGGTCCCAAAAAACACCAAAACCCTAAACAATAAACTCTAAACGCAAGAAACAAAGGCCCTTACAGCACCAAAACCCTAAACCCTTAACTCTAAACGCAAGAAACAAGTCTACGACAAAAAAAGAGAAGGCTCATAACGGCCCTTACAGCACCAAAACCCTGAGCCCTAAAACTCAAGAAACAAGTCTACGACAAAAAAGAGAAGGCTCATCAAGGCCCTAACAGCACCAAAAAACCTAAGCCCTAAAACTCAAGAAGCAAGTCTACGACACAACAGCGAAGGTTCGTAAATGCCCTAACAGCACACGAAGCTCTAAACTCAACAAAAAAGTCTACGACACCACAGCGAATGTTCATAAAGGTCCCAAACAACACCAAGACCCTAAACCCTAAACCCTATATAAACCCTGAACGCAAGAAACGAGTCTACGACACAACAGCGAAGGTTCATAAAGGCGCTTCATGTCATCCAGGAAGGCCTGGTGCTTGTACCTGGGGATTCGGAGATTGAGGTTCTGGGGATTCGGGGGTTTAGGGCTTTCTCGTTTTGAGTTTCGGGGTTAGGGTTAAGGTTTCGGGGTTATAGGTAAGCCCAAAAAGTTGGAAACCGGATTAAGGACAATTAGTGCTGGGCTTCCCCGTAAACCCTAAACCCCTTCCCTATACATTACTCTGAAGGATTGAGGCTATTGGGTTTCCAACTCTTGGGCTTGTGCTGTGGGGCTTTCGCAGATTCGGGCCGTAGGGTGTCAGGATTTTAAGGGATTAGGATTTAGGGTTTAGGGGTTGAGGGTTTATAGGGTTTAGGGTTTAGGGTTTATGAGTTTGGGTTATGGGAGTAGATCTGATAAGGCTTTGGAGTTTGCATGGGGTCCTGGGTTTGGGGGGGATTCGGGTTTTGGGGCTGTAGGCGCTCAGCTGACTAAATCTTAGAATCGAGTGAGTCCACGATTTATGCTGTCATCTTGTGCCGAGGTTGGAACCTGAAACCCTCCAGGCCAAAAGCATGCTTCTTTTTAACCTTCCATCTTAACAGCTTGTAAGCTTACAATCTTTCCTAGCGATGCAGGGGACCGAAATTTCTACAACTCCTGGCAGGCGGCTGCTTGGTGATCTCGATGGAGAAGCACTTGTAGAAGGCTAGGTATGAAGCCAGTCGGGTTTGACAGTGGCGGCCCGAACCACCGACGCCAATCAGAAGCGCATTTCCCTGGAAAAGCAGACTTGGATTGGCTTTGGAGTTTACCTCAACCCCAAATCACCTTCATTTTTACGGCAAGACTCATAGCAAGGATCTCAAACATAGGTTTTACAGGCTCTTAAAGGTTTCGGGCCTAGGGAAAGCCGTTGAGGTCAAATCTTCCTCTGGGGCATTCGGGTCTGTTCTTGCTGTTCTTGTAGGTTTAGGGTTTAGGGTTTAGGGGTTCAGAGGTTAGCGCGGTTTAAGGATTAGGCGTTGCCATTCCACATTACTCGGCTTTGGTGCTGGAAGTGAAGGTCACAGTTATGATGACTCTTAACAACTTTTAGTGCTTTAAAAGAACAGGATGCCATGCGGAAGCAACTGTTGTCATTCTACAGTGGCTAGCAAGAGTGAGATCAGCATCAAATTACAGCACACACGCCCTTGAAACCAAAATCCGCAAGCCGCAATCTCTACATCGTGAAGACCTAAACCCGACAACCGAAGGCGTATGCTCAAACCCCGAAACAACATCAACATACGAAACAAACTCTACAAAGCAAAGATGACCCTAACCCCGAACCCCTAACACTGCAACAACGAAACCCTAAGCCCTAGTAGTAACCCGAATCCCACTCCTAAACCCTAAACCCTAAATCCTAGACCCTAAACCCTAAACTCTAAATCGCAGACCCTAAACCCTAAACCCTAAACCATAAATCCTAGACCCCAGACCCTACACTGTAAATCCTAGACCCTAAATCCTAAACCCTAAACCCAAACACCGTCCTAAACCCTAAACCCTAAACCCTAAGCCTCATAGACCCTAAACCCTAAATCCTAAACCCTAAACCCAAGCACCGAAGTGGGTCAACTGCACCCCTCGAAACTTTGACCTTCCAAATCCCCGGAGACTCCTGACTCCAAAGCACCCTTATGAAGGAAATGATCTTTGAATGGGTTTAGGGTTTAGGGTTTAGGGTTTAGGGTTTAGGATTTAGGGTTTAGGGTTTAGGGTTTAGGATTTAGGGTCTAGGGTTTAGGGTTTAGGGCTTTAGGGTTTTAGGGCTGAGGGGTTTATGGTTTAGGGTTTAGGGTTTAGGGCATAGGAACCCCGATTCAAAAGACTTAAAGATCTACTCTTGAATTAACGGGTTTTTTGTAACTAGTCTCTGGGTCTATAGTAAACACCCGAAAAATCCCACCAAATCTGCATAAACCCTAGCCATTCGCTGACCTGCGGTTGCTTCAGGATGCGCAGAATCTTGCAACAGATCTCCACGGCCTGTTGCGGGTTTCCGACTTAGAATTTGGGGGTTCTGATAGTGCTTAGGTTTAGGGTCTATAGGGCTTAGGGTTTAGGCTTATAGACACGTCCAGCGACGATTGCGGGCTGTGGGCAATGTAGGGTGTATGTTGGCTTTCTGAGGCTTACAACCTGGTTTAGGGTTACAGGGTTGAAGAAACACTCTAGGGGCCCGTATGGCATATACATTTGCACCAGAGCTACTCTATTGTATATAAGGAACATGGACCCTAAACCCTAAACTCTCTGCCCTTTTGGTACCCATGCCCAAGCCTTGTTTGAGTATCTGTTCAGAAACCCTGTAAGCCCGTTCTAGACCCCCACAGGCCCCAAGCACAAAGGCCCTAAGCCTTTCGAGAACCCTTATCGTGCCCGCACAGAACATAAAATCCTTCCAGAACATCCCTTTAGAACTAAACCCCAAACCCTAATGCACCTTAAACCCTTAACGCCAAATCAGAAAACCCTTAACTCCAATCCTAGACCGCAAATCCCAAACCTAAACCCTAAACCCCAGATCCTGAACCATAAAGCCTAAACCATAAACCCTGCGCCCTGGGCCCTAAACTTTACTAACCTGCACCCCTGAGGGTCGGTGAACAGTTGGTTGAAGTCTTCCCTCCAAGGTTAGAAGTATGGGGCCCTGACATGGGTTCTAGGGTCCCTTGAGGGTACATATAGGGTATATAGTAGGTAAAGAAGGGTCCCAGGGATAAGGGCCCAGACTAGGGGCCCATGGCTTCAACCTTAGATTCCAACGTGGACAATGATTCGGGGGATTAGGGCTTCCAGGTGGGTTGGTTGGTTTAGGGTGGTTGGCTTAGGGTTTAAGATTTCGAACTTATGGTTTAGAGTTTAGGTCGGGTTTGAGGTTCTTGTTCTAGAGTCGTTGACTCTTCTTTCCTTAAACCCCTAAACTCTAAGCCTGAAGCCCTAAACCCAAACCCCTAAAGCCTAAACCCCTATGAACCCTGTGGTGGTAGTTGCGCATGGCTTGAGGTACTAAGCCCCAAAGACTCCAGAACCCCTTAACTAAGGAAAAAACCTTAAGTTCTGATAGGAACACTAATAAGGTTCAAGGTACATTCCTTAATTTAGGGGCTTGGGAGTCTCTAGGTACTTCAAGCCGAAGCCCTAAACCCCTAAACCCCTGAGCTGTGTAAGATCTACACGCACCAGGGCCGCTTGTGCCAGGCTCCAGTCATTAAGAGACCATGTGCCCATTTTGCACACCTCTTAGCCGTAGTTCCTTTTTTGGGTTGCCTTATAGGATCCCAAATACAGAACTGGTTAAACCACAAGAAAGAACTACAAGGGAGACTATAGGTAAAGTACCTAAATACGGACGACATCAAGGCCAAAGCATAATATACACAAGAGCACATGGACTCTTGGAGAGTTGCAACGATGCTCGACACAACTCAGCCAAGAGCGGCGACAGTGCCCAAGGCGCATGCTACCCCCACTCCACAACAACAGGAAGAACGCGAATGACGAGTGTTCCCCCTCCGAGAACTTGGCTGAACTCTGGTTTTTGTACACCCTAAACCCTAAACCCTAAAACCTAAACCCTAAAACCTAAACCTTAAACCCTAAAACCTAAACCCTAAACCCTAAACCCACCGAGCAGAAGAAGCCGAGAAGCCTCTTTGAACATGACCAAGGACATGGGCGACTTCTTGAACATGGTGTTGTAGTCCTGCCGAGAGAAGCCGAGGACGTCACAAGTGGGCTTACAGTTTAGAGCACGTACAGACTTAACCATACGGTTTAGGGTTTAGGGTTTAGGGTTTAGGGTTTAGGGTTTAGGGTTTAGGGTATAGCCTATAATTCAGGATAACTTCTAAAGTCAGCTCGACTACAACCTCTTTACAAAGTCTCTTCTTGCTTCCCAAAGAGGCCACAGAAATGAGAGGACAAGCTTTCCGATTCTTATTAAACTGCAAGATCCCAGAAAGGTTAAAGGTTGGGTATTGGACTAAGTCTTGATCCATGGCCCCGAACTCCAACTCCAAAGCTCAAGAGAGAAGCAAACCATGGGCGACAGAGTTCCAAGATCGGCAAAAACAATTGGCCCATATTGGCCCGGACAGTACGCTTAAGGGCTTTCGGGTTCAGTCAGTGTGCAAAGGGGTTTCTGCAGATATGTGTGGCATTGGACTCCGTGTGCGAGGGTTTAGGTAGGGTTCTGGGTGCCCTACCTAGGGTTACCAGATTTCTACGAAGGTTCAGCCTACTTACGTAGTCCCTTTATCCCGTGACAAAGCACAGACGTTGAACCGCCTTCCTTCCTTCCTTCCTTCCTTCCTTCCTTCCTTCCTTCCTTCCTTCCTTCCTTCCCTGCCTTCCTTCCCCTTCCTGGAATCCGTAATCTGAAACCTCTAACACGGGTCGCCCTGAACTCAACAAACCTGAAGCCTCTGAGAGCATAATTTAGGGGCCCCGATAATAATCGTAATATTTTTCGGCTCCTTCATGGTTTTGCTATAACAACGAACCCTAACAAATAATACGGTTGATGGCATAAAACCTGCATTTCCCAAAAGAAGGAATATACCAGAATTCCCATAGTTTTGGGTCCTTAACGCCATGCAGGATTTAGATCATCAACAGAATTGGTATGTATTAACCCTAAACCCTGAACCCTAACTGTGGCTTCCATAAGAAGGCCGGGTCCTCGTTCTTCTGCTCCATGAAAGCTTTCAGGCCTGAACCGGCGCGCTTTTTTTGGGCAGAAAGACGCTGAAAGTTGTCCCCAAACCCCTTCATTGAGGAACTTATACCTTAAAGCTTATTGGGGTTCTTTTTAATAATTTAAGGGGTAATGGTTTTTATGGCTTTAGGGCTTTAGGGTTTTAGGGCTTAGGGTTCTTGATGCAATATACCCTAGGCCCTAGGCCTCATGGACCCTCACAGTGAAACTCCAAACCTTAGCCCCCAAAGCCCCAACCTTCTCCTAGAAAGCCCATAGCAGCAACAAGAGCCGTCGGGTAGCGGTTTAGGGTTTTAGGGTTTAGGGTTTAGGGTTTAGGGTTTAGGGTTTAGGGTTTAGGGTTTAGGGTTTTAGGGTTTAGGGGGTAAGGTATATTCCTTGATTGAGGGGCTTTGGAAGTCGGCTGGGACTGTGGCTGCTGAAGCTATGAGAATCTGATCGCTTCGGAAAGTCCCCTATAGGTTTTAGGGTTTAGGGTTTTAGGGTTTAGGGTTTAGTGTTTTGGGGCTTCGGGTTTTAGGGTTTAGGGTTTTAGGGCTTCGGGTTTAGGGTTTTAGGGCTTCAGGGTCGATTCAGGGGGACGGGGGAGCGATTATCACAACAGCATTCAGGGTAAAAACGCGTCCTTTACATGACGCCCGCCCGCCTTTGCGATCCTGCATGTAGTCGTACCTGGGCTGCTGGCAGGCGAAAACTGAGTTCTGGCTGCAGCGTGGGATCCAGGAGAGTGTAAGGATGAGGGTTTGTGGCCTGGGGGACAACCTCAGGTTCGACCACGAATACCACAATAAAGCTTGAGATCACCGGGCTCTTGAAATTTGGATTTGCGCTGAGTTTGGAGTCTCGGCTGTAACCTGCCGTCGTTGGGTCGGGCAGTGGATATCTCTTTGAGCGGCCAGTTAGCTGGGTACCCACATGGATCACCCAACTTGGCGGCCATCAGACCATACATACAGCAGGCGCAAGGTTTAGAGTCGTTCAGAGCTAAGGGTTTTAGGGTTAAGTTTAGAGATCTCTGGCTTTCGCGGTTTAGGGTTCAGGCGTTTAGGGTTTGGAGGTAACAGATTCCAGTGTGGTACATTGCTTTGGTTACTTAGTTTCTTCGGATTGGATCCTAACAATAAACATGGCTCATCCCGAACATGTGATACATTCCAGAAGCTAGGCAATACCAACCGTAAAACAACGATCATGATGCTGATCCAAAGTAATGCTCATGTTCTAGGGTTTTCGTACCCCAGAAGTTACGGTAGGGAACAAAAGCGCCCTTAGAGCAGTATAAACATGCTCCTAATACAATACTAACAACACTAGGAACTGTGAAGGCACTTCATCTTCACGAAATATGTACGTACCCATAACTCCGAACATGCCGTCCAAACCTCAAGCATACATCCGAAATCTTACAACCCTAAACCATTTGTTTACCCACCCGGAACCCGAAAATCCTGGATAGAACCCTTATGCACCACTCAATTTATAACCCACCGCCCGACTCAACAGCCAGAGGACGTCGCATCCTCGGCTTCGGGATTCGTCAAATCCAAGGCGGCGAACACGAAATCCGGGTCGCCGCCATCAATCCTTATACGCTTCCGGTTCAAGGCTTAACCCTAAACCCTAAAC